CAAGTTACATATGCGTAATGAAAAATCCTCCTTTCCTCTCTCGGGGGCTCTTCCTTTTTATAGTGGATATTGCATAAGTCTCTGCCCAATGGTAGACGGTTGGGACCATTTAACCGTGTCCTTCATGGGGCCCGCCCACTCGAGTGGCCTATGGCCTCTTTGTTGGAAAATTAATGGCATCGAGTGCGCAGCGAAATTTAAAAAATTTAATCAACGTCAAAGCCAAACAAGAACATGTTCATGATGCTATATAACATAAATACTAAAGATCTAAAACATACCTTTTGAGATTTCAGGAAACTGCACGTCTGACAGATCTAAGCGTTCCAAACAGCAACCGGAAGAGCATCAACCAACTGGTCTTCTTTGCTATTCTCGTTTCCACAATCGGTGTGCGGGTGGGCACACGTCGTTTAATCTCCTCTAGGTATTCTTGATCTCCTTCCAATCACAAGAGAACCAAAGAAAAAATTGTTCTTGAGAATTAAACAATTTTTCCTCTCAGGAATCTTTTATCAATAGCCTCCAAAAAGTCTCTCAAGTGATCTAATGAGTAATGTGACTTAATAGGCTATTTATAGTGTTTAGGAAGTCATATTTTCGTAACAATTAGGTTTCCCAAAGTTCTAATCGCATCCAGAGTCGATTTTGCCATGTCATCATGCATTTTACGTTACAACCGGTCGACCGGTGACAGAGACGTTATAACTCACCGGTCAACCTGTCTTCACTAACCGGTCGACCGGACCGGTCGACCCAACCGGTCGACCTGTCTGCACTGACGAAAGTTGTTTTTCCTAGTTTTTCAATACGGGAAACTTGCATAGAGCCTCAGTTTTGATTCAAACAACCCAATAGAGAAATTGCATGATCAAAACAGTCATATAATAGTCTTCCTATATTAAACAACTCTTAAAACAATAATTCAACCAATTTATCTAGAATTAATTTATCAATTAATTCACTCGATAAATCACCCATGAATTAACTTTGAACATCTTTTACGGAAATAGCACAAGTTACCAATGTGTAGGAAATACGCCGTATCGTTACAGGAAATTATGTGAGCTAGCAAAGGGACCCGATGGACATATATAAATCAAGCTCCTATAATCACAACGCTACTTGTAAACCAACAA